CAGGAGTCTACCAGTTGAAGTGTGTCTAATTTTTGGTAAGGGATTTTGGGAAGGCCTGGGAGGATGGTGAGGATGAGCTTTGGTCTAAAAGGGGGTAGCCACCAAATAAAATCACCTCCCACCAATAAAAGAGGGGATAGAAACCTATCAAGAATTTTGAAAAAAAAAAAAAAAACGGGAAAAGAAGGATGCTTGCGCCGAATTTGGTGCATAGACATCAGCGATCGTGAGTTCACGACCCGAGAGGGTGCCTTTAATAATAATAAATATGCTGCTCTCACGGTCACGTGCCCGAGGGTTTTTTTTACTACAAACACATGGGAATAACATCCCCTGCCCTGCTTGTCCCGGGGAACTCAGGTAAGGATCTGCTGATCTACCAGGTCCCCAATTAGGACACGCAGGGCCTGCACCCTTTCCCGATCCTTGGGAAGGTGGGTTACCAGATACCTGGCAGGGGGACTGAAGTTGAACTCCAACCTGTACCCCTTCTTGATCAAGTCGAAGATGTACAGTTTAGAGAAGATTGAAGCCTACTGAGGGAGAAAGGTCCCCAGTCTTCTTTCCATTGGGACGTTCAAGTCATTGAGATGAGACTTGGTGGGCCTTGAGGAGGATTGAATAAGATTCCTCCTCTTCCCCTATTCCTGTGCCCTGTCCAATGTTTCTTAGGCTGAACCTCCTTAGCCTGCTGGGCCTGTGTTTTTCGACAAAAAACCCTACTAGAGTAAAACCTTTTCTTACTCTCTGGGAATGTCCTCTTGTTATGGGCTGTACATTCCAGAGCCTCCTCGAGACCTGGACCAAAAAGATTATCGCCAATAAAGGGTAAGGCACAAAGGTGCAGTTTGAATGCTGAGTTCCCTGCCCAGGTTTTTAACCAAAATGCCCTTTTTAGATGAATTCACTAGGGAAACCAAACTGCTTTAAAAACAGCAAAGGAAATTATTTATTTATTTCAGGTACTTATATAGTGCTGTCAGTTTACGCAGCGCTTTACATATATATTGTACATTCACATCAGTCCCTAACCCTCAAGGGGCGTACAATCTAAGGTCCCTAACTCACATTCATACATACACATACTAGGGACAATTTTGACAGGAGCCAATTAACCTACCAGCATGTCTTTGGAGTGTGGGAGGAAACCGGAGTAAACAGAGAAAACCCATGCAGGCACAGGGAGAACATGCAAACTCCAAGCAGGTGGTGCGTGGCTGGGATTCGAACCAACAACCCTAGTACTGCCAGGTGGAAGTGCTAACCATTTAGCCACTGTGCTGCCCTATATTTCAGGATTTGCTGCCTGGAGGTTCCTGCCAAAAGATGCGACTAACTGTGTAAGCCAGCATTCCAGATTTCTGGTGACACAGGTAGATGATAAAGCTGGCCTAAAGCTGATGGAAGTGGAATCCCAGGCCCTGCGGAGTAAGACTTCACCCTCTTATACATAGGGTCCTTCATGGCCCCCATATCTTCAAATGCTAAGTCTGTCCTTTTAGAGACTTTAGATAAGGGGGGTGTCTAATTTCTGAACCTTGTTCCATTGCTGGGACCCGTTATCCTCAAAAGGAAACCTCCTTTTAAGATTACTTGAGAAAAAGGGTTTCCTCTCAGGGCTTTCCCATTCCTGCTTAATGGTATCAACCAGGGAACTATGGACTGGAAAGACACTAGTCTTTCTAGCATGCAAACCTTGATACATGAGGTCATGCTTAGATAGGCAAACATCCTCCTCCTCGATCTCTAAGGTTTTGTAGATAACTTTAAGGAGGTCGTCCACATCTTCCAGGGGCAATTTGTTCCTGGAACCTCTGGAGGAGCAAACTTCACCATCCTCCTCTTATGAGCCTGAATCTAACCTTTGAGGAAGCAAGAGACCTAGGATCCTCCTCCGGGTCCTCCTCCCCTCTTAATGCATCTGCTACCTACAAACCCACCGATTGGGTCCAAGGATCCAGTGGCAACTGCATTTTTCCAATAGGGATCTAAAGGATACACTACCACCTCCCCCCCACTCCCCCCCTCTCTGTTGGGGTCCCTCAAGGCTCTGTCCTTGGGCCCCTTCTCTTCTCCATCTACACCTCCTCCCTTGGCCAACTGATACACTCCCACGGCTTCAACTACCACCTCTATGCCGACGACACGCAAATCTATCTCTCGACCCCCCGCCCTCATCCCTTTCAGTCTCCGCCCGAATCACCAGCCTACTGAACGACATATCAGATTGGATGTCACTCCACTTCCTTAAACTGAACCTCTCCAAAACCGAGCTCCTAGTCTTCCCCCCAGCCCGCACACACCCCCCCACTGACTTCTCCATCACGTCCAACCATGCCACCATCAAGCCCACCCCGCAAGCCAGAGTACTTGGTGTCATACTAGACTCCAATCTATCCTTCCAGCCCCAAGTCCAATCGCTAACAAACTCATGCAGGTTCCACCTCTGCAACATCGCCAAAATCAGCTCGTTCCTAACCCCAGAAACCACTAAACAGCTCATCCACTCCCTCATCCTATCACGACTCGATTGCTGCAACTCCCTCCTCACTGGCCTGCCTCTTAACAGGCTATCTCCACTTCATTCAGAATGCTAACACTGACATACAAAGCTGTCCAATTAACCTTAATAGAGCGTGGCACACAATTCGCAGCCCTAAGGGTTTTTTTCCACTGAACCATATGTCTATCTTGCACAAACTGCACACTTCTTCCCTTTTATTGAACTGTCTGACTCGCACCTTAGATGAGGGACTTTAACCAACACTGAGAGCCGAGAATTCACAATACAAGAAATATGTCCCCCAGGGCCACCTCATCACAAATACATCTTGATGGGGAGCAAGATACTAAGTATACTAACCATAAGGTCATCAAGAGACTCAAGTCCCCAATACGTAACTTAGAGGAGCCAGTGCTTTTTGTAGACGACATTTTTTTCCTCTTTATTGGGACGGATTTTTTTATTATTTTTCTTCTACTTTTTTTTATGGGCTTTTTTTTTTTTTTTTTTTCTATTTATTTTTTTTTTTCTTTTTTTTCCTTTTTCTTATATTTTTTTTTTTTTATTTTTTTTACTTGAGAAGGACCAGGGGTACCTGAGAAAGTGCCTCCGCCTTTTTTTTCTTTTCCTCTTGTTTTCCCAAGCCCTGGTCTGTACTCCAATTATTGCTGCACATACTAACTATGGAGAACTGGAACCACGACACGTGACTTCCTGGCAAGCGACGTCACCGCACCTCTACAAACCTTCCGTGTTCCTGGACAGCACCCAGAAGTTTTTTAACCTCCCATACACCTAAGCTTGCATCACTCTGCCTCCCATTATTGAAAGCACCAAGGATGCAGGCCCCAGTCGCCACCCCTCATGCTCCCCCCCATCAACTGACACAACGACATCGTAGTCTTAGTCCTGAGAACCACTCAGAGAAACCCCAGCACTGAGCGAAGTGTTGGCCCACTTTAGGGTCAACTAGGAGATAACAGGAATCAGCCTAGATACACAGGTATCCCCCCAAGCTTACGCTTTAAGAGGAGCCTCCAAGTATGCCCTATTCGACACACGAGCCCACCAGCCTAGATGGAATCCTTCAGGGAGGCCCTTCCGACTTTATTTGGCAGGCTGTAAATGACTTATCCTTAATCAGGCAAGGCACTACAATTGCAGCATTAAGGGTTTTTTTACCAACGCTGAACCCACTTAGCTGCAACAAACTGCACAATGCTTCTTGGGGGTCTGACTCTGAGAAGGCTGGTCCTGGACTTTAAAACATACAATAGAATGTCTCGAAAAGATACAATACAGAAAATAATCGCACAGGCCACCTCATAACAAAAAACACTGTGGCTGGGAAGCAGGGCTAAAGGAACGATGTGGCCCACCATTTCTTCAGCAAGAGGATCAGCAGTCCCCAAGCCTTACCTTTCAGAGGAGCCAGTGCTTGAAACCGACCAGGGTATTCCTGAGAAGTGTCAGTGCCTTCCATATGTCCCTCAATTGGTGTAGAGCCACAGAACATATGCATTGTCTGAACTCCTACTGGCTCCATTGCTAATATATGGAATAGACTGGAACCACGAGATCAGCGGCGCCCGTCTCGGATGTCACCAACGGCCCGGTAACTTCCGTTCCTGGGAAGCACCCAGAAAGTTGGGGCTACTTGCAACGCCTGCTTGTAGCAGGTCACTCTGTCCCACTGATGTGCAGACGGATGCTGGAGCCCCCCCACACAGTGGGTAAGAAGAACGAACAGGCATCCTGGTACCCTGGACCACACTGGGACACCCCCGTATGCGGTATCATACACTGAGGCATGGAAGGACAATCAGGATGCGCAGCCCCACTACCCCTGTAGGGATTGCGTCGGGCAGGAGGAAGTAATCCAGACCAGGATCCACCAGCAACCTCTAGGGGCCAAGGACTATTTCCAAACAAATCAGTTCCTTGATGACTAGCACCCATCCTTTGCAGAGGAAACACTAAAAAACTCAGGAGGGAGGCCTGGTGGTCCTGCCTTTTTTTTTAAGTACTGTATTGCTTTTACGTGTTTCCTGTCCAGAGGGAGGAGCTCTGTCTCAGGAAGGATAGTCCCTGGAGGACGTTTTTTTTTTTTAGACAGTGAAAATGACATTAAATGAATGTCTGAGAGACAAAAGCCAGAAATTTAGATCAGATGGTCTGCATAGCACGCCTCATTGTTAGGCCCCCCATACCGGTAGAGAGGCAGCATTGAAGGCGCAGGATTTATAATCATGAAATACAAATTAAAGTGAACGTATTTTCAAAACAGCCAAGAATATTTCACAAGGTCTGAAAAGTATGTAAGTCATCGAGTTATTCCACAATTTAAGAAGAAGAGCATAACTGCAGGTAGTAAATGTAAGAGAGGAGTTTGCAGATGATACAATGGTGGGTAGTATGTACAGGAGAGGAGTGTGGAGGTATGACAGTGATGGGTATGTACGGGAGAGGAGTGTGGGGGGTATGACAGTGATGGGTATGTACGGGAGAGGAGTGTGGGGGGTATGACAGTGATGGGTATGTACGGGAGAGGAGTGTGGGGGGTATGACAGTGATGGGTATGTACGGGAGAGGAGTACGGGGGTATGACAGTGATGGGTATGTACAGGAGAGGAGTACGGAGTATGACAGTGATCGGTATGTACAGGAGAGGAGTACGGAGGTATGACAGTGATGGGTATGTACGGGAGAGGAGTACGGAGGTATGACAGTGATGGGTATGTACGGGAGAGGAGTAACGGAGGTATGACAGTGATGGGTATGTACAGGAGAGGAGTACGGAGGTATGACAGTGATGGGTATGTACAAGAGAGGAGTACGGAGGTATGACAGTGATGGGTATGTACAGGAGAGGAGTACGGAGGTGTGACAGTGATTGGTATGTACAGGAGAGGAGTACGGAGGTATGACAGTGATGGGTATGTACAGGAGAAGAGTACGGAGGTATGACAGTGATGGGTATGTACAGGAGAGGAGTACGGAGGTATGACAGTGATGGGTATGTACAGGAGAGGAGTACGGAGGTATGACAGTGATGGTATGTACAGGAGAGGAGTACGGAGGTATGACCCGTTCCAGGGAGGAGTATCTCAGGAAGGGTCTATACTCCACCATAACTCTGGTTCTCGGAGTGTCAGGTCCCAGCGGGTTCTCCTGGTGTCTCTCCTGTTATTCTGTCTCGGACACATCAGAGGAACATGGTGGGAGATCGGCCTGAATGTCCTTCCTAGGAGGGGTAATACCGGAGCCATTCTGAGGACCATTAAAAGGCCGGCAATGAGGAGGAAACCAACACTGAGAAGTAGATGCTGAGATATATACAGCACGGGGCAGCACAGTGGCTGAGTGGTTAGCATTTCCACCTGGCAGTACTCGGGTTGTTGGTTCAAATCCTAACCATGGCACCACCTGCCTGGAGTTTGCATGTTCTCCCTGTGCCTGTGTGGGTTTCCTCCGGGAACTCAGGGGCGGGGACTGATGGGAATGTACAATATAGATGTAAACTGACGGCGCTATATAAGTACCTGGAATAAATAATAATAATACACCCATACACCCAGATCATCGATGACGAGGAGGAAGGTTCGGTCACAGATGATTGGTCCGTCTATAGCAGGGACAGGAGCCGGGACCAGGAATAGGAGATCCACCTGACTTACCCGTGTGCTCCGACATGGAGAAGATCCCATGCTGGCCCTATGGTGGCCGTGTGTTCAGGATGGAGACCGATTCTGTTGGATCCTCTGGAAGCAGATCTAAAATGGCTGAAAGGAAGAAAGTTTTTCCAGGTACAGGAAGTGACACAGAGAGGAAGTGACACCAGACAGGAAGTGACACAAAACAGGAGGTGACTCCAGACAGGAAGTGACACAAAACAGGAAGTGACTGCGGACAGATTTATACAGAGGCTGCAGTATGGAGAGCAGACACTAGATGGATCTGATCCAACAAAATCTGAATAGTAAAAAACAACAGGGAAAAAACCTGAAAATGTAAAAGACGATGGCGGCTCGTAAACTTCCTATTTAGCAGCAGCTTGAGGTCATTGTCCCACTCTACATGTTACATCACATCACGTGACTTCCTCAGGAGTTGGCCATCGGACGTACAGCTGCCTATATATACCATTATAATATCCTTAATATACCAATCGGGCGCCATTATGTTGTAGCCTGTCTGTCCCTTATTTGGTGGCCATTTTCCCTTGGTCTAGTATCAATTTACATTTATCCCATTACAGTGCAGAGGATTAGATATTCGTCCTCCATTTTTTTGCAGCCTGCACGTCCCTCCTCCGGCAGCCATTTTCCCTTGGTTCTAGTATCAATTTAACATTTATCCCATTACAGTGCAGTGGATTAGATCTTCGTCCTCCATTTTGTTGTAGCCGTCCTGTCCCTCCTCCGGCGGCCATTTTCCCTTAGTCTGATATTAATGCTGGCACATTTTGTCCCCTGATATTAGACATTAGCCGGGTGATTGTATACACACAGCGGGCAGATCTCAATCAATGTCACCCACTAGTCTATACTGTCACGGGGTTGGTCAGCCAATCATGTGGCTCCTATTCTGTCCTTCCAATGACCATTCCTAGTACATAGGACTCATCTTCCTTACTACATTCATGATACAACAAGATGGAAACTCCCAATATACAGAGAAAATCTACCATAAAATACATAGAAATCACATCTGCCCTAAAGGGCCATAAACATAAGAAGATTGCCCCCGACGCCCCCAGATTCATCTACAATACTAGCCAAGGTGTCATTGGTCCCCCTAATACACGGACAGTACCTGTTTCATGTACAGGAATGAAGACAACACAAGCTGCTGGTGTGAGGAATCATGTTGTACAACAGAACTGCATCCAGGTCAGCATAGAACAGGAAGCAGGAAGTAGAAGGCCATGCAATATTCCCGGATACAAGTCGGGTCACAGGATTTGTACAATGACTCTATAACGTCTCCCTTTTTTACATTCCATTCAAACCTTGTAAACAATGAAACTAAAACAGATCCTGAACAGTCTTGAACATGGCATGCTGTGTGACTGGTAGATACACTACAGATTGAGTCTATCTGGTGGTCTGGAAACTCGACCACACTACGCAAGGCCACAGGGATTTTCCTGGGGAAATCCGTTCAGCTCCAGAAGGTGTTGATAAGGAGCGACCCTCTTTCCTGGGCGGTGTGTTTGGCAGAGAAGAACTTGTCGGGATATGTGGCTGCATTATGTCATCCTCATTGTATCCCGATATGACAGCGGAGTTCTCTCTGCTTTGAGTATATGGTCCAGTAGGACTCGGGGCATTGAGCACCTCAGGAGGATCACGTGCAGGATGCTCATAGGCTTGTGCGGTGAATCGTTCTGCCCTTCGCAGGTCCACTCGATTGCGGCGGTAAAGACTGCCTTCTACATCCACAAGATATGATCGAGGAGCAACCCTCTGAACACAGGAACCCAGTCTCCAGCGACCGGTCCTGTCACCTGGAAGCGGCTTCATACGGATTGGCTCTCCAATGCTTAGTTCAGGTAAGTCTTTAGCAGACACATCGTATGACAGTTTGGCAATCTGTTTCCTCCTCTGCAGTTTTGCCGGGACACCTGTAACCACACAAGGATCAAGTAATATGTTGGCCACAGGCAATGAAGTCTTCAGTCTCCTAGACATCAAGCGCTGTGCAGGTCTGTGACAGGACGTGTACTTATCCATGTGGATAGAAAACTTGGCTGATAATGGTGTATCCAGATCACCTTTCCATAATTCTGCTCCTGTGACGTCTGGATAATTCATCTCCTTCATCTGTTTTCAGGCATCAGTGTCTCACCTTGCAATAGTGTAGCCTACTTCCTTTGGTCAATAGCAGGAATAGACTGACCATTTTTAAACTCGGGCACTGCCCCAGGGCCAGGGGACAGTAGGGGGCCCCATGAGATGCCCCTGGTACCTTTTTCATAGGCTTTTTTTGTTTGGGCAAGGACACAGGGGCCCCATGAGTGGTTAGTCCACCCCTGGCCAACAGTGAGAAAAAATAAATGAATGGACTATTGTTGTTATAGCAGTATTAAAGCATTCATTTATTTTTTAATGTGTTTTTTTTTTATTTTTTATATGATTTAAAATATATTTTTCTAACATTTTTTGAAATCAAATGTTTTTGTTTCACCAATAAAAGGGCCATGGCCTATTGTATCCTACTATCAAGTCATGTTTTGTATGTATCAAGATTTTTATGGCTAATATTTAGATTTATGTTGTGCTTATCCACTTGTTGTCTGCAAGGTTTTACCTCCATGACGACAGCCTTTCTAGCTATTCATCACAGCGCTACTTTAACTGGCCATTGCAGAGTCATGTAATATTGTAATACAATTGAATTTGATTACCAATATATATATAAATATTATTTTTATTATTTATTTACTTTGTATTATTTTGCATCACCACTGTTTATTTTCCATGATAAATTGATTTTAAAGGCTTAAGTTCTTTCAGCTTCATGCATTGTATGCATGCATTACAAAAACATGTATGCGCAGTACAGCCATCCCCGCCAACCCCCCCCCCCCCCCACAATATTTACTTGATCCCCATTGATATCAATGAATGGCCACAACAGCCTTGGCTGTCCCTTTTCTCTGCCTTGTCATTGGCTCCCACTGCTGTAAATCACAGGCAGTCATGTAATGAAGTAAGAGGAGGCGTGGCCAAGCCGTGCCCTGTGTGTGAATGGACACATGGACCATCATCTTGCCAATGCACCTGCTTGGGTGTCTCCATAGGAAGTTAAGTATCATTTTTTTTCTTAGTTTCAAAAGAAAATTAAACTTTCATATAGCTTTTGAAAAGACTGGAAATATGTAAAAATTAAAAAATACTTTCTACTCCAAAAAAATCATATTTCTTTAGATGAATGTAGGCAATAATGGATCATCCGACATGTCTTTTCTATGTGTTATTAATTGGTTGGGGGAACAATACAGTCTATAACTATGTTATATACAATATATCTGATCATTCTTCAGTCATGATGAACTCTTGTCTTCTTTTTCTCGAGGCTCTAAAAATGCCCAAATGATATCTGTATGGAAATTAGATTCTTTTTTTTTTCTTTTGTGAAACATTTTTGATTAACTAATTGCCAACAGCAGATAGCCGAATGACGGCTACACTGCGTCCGGCCAGTTCTGGGTGGACATCATATGACGTCCTCCCAGAACGCGCTCTCCTGGGCGCCCCCTGGTCCGCACACCCGGCGATCTCCGTGATCGCTGTGTTCTACGTACACGGCTGATCACGTAATGTGTTAAAAGGCCAATTATGCCTGGATTTCAGCACCTGATCATCCGTGTCCAATGACACACTGATCACCGGGAAATGCCATTGCAGGTTCTCTTTTTCCTCACGCTGTCAGAGCACCAGGAAAGTACTGACGAGAACCGGCAGTTGTCAGAGCGGGGATCGGCACCGATCATTAGGCCAGTGATGATCAGTGCCTTGATGATCAGTGCCCAGCAGTGCCACCCACCAGTTACGCCCACCTGTGCCTAGCACTGCACCAATCTGTACACCCACCTGTGTCAGCCACCTGTGCCCAGCAGTGTACCCACCTGTGCCACCCACCTGTGCCCACCAGTGCCACCCACCTGTGCCCACCAGTGCCACCCACCTGTGTCCACCAGTGCCACCCACCTGTGCCCATCAGTGCAGCCCAGCGGTTGCGCCAGTCAGCGCCCAGCAGTGATGCCAGTCAGTGCCACCTATCAGTACCCATTATCAGTGCTGCCTATCTGTGCTACCTCATTAGTGCTGCCTATCAGTGCCATTGAGTGCTGCTTATCAGTGCCTATCACTGCTGCCTATCAGTGCCCATCAGTGCTGTCTATCAGTGCCCATCAGTGCTGTCTATCAGTGCCCATCAGTGCTGCCTATCAGTGCTGTCTATCAGTGCCCATCACTGCTGCCTATCAGTGCCCATCAGTGCTGCCTATCAGTGCTGTCTATCAGTGCCGCCGATCAGTGCTGCCTCATCAGGCAGGAAGGGGGTAGAAGTGCCCGGTAAGCGAGGGGTTAATGGAATTAGGTATCCATTCAATGTATCCTCTGATAATCAGAGACGCCATGAAATAATGTATCACTTTAATTCATGATACTGCAGAATGTGAAATTGTAGCCACTGAAATATTGGGGTGCCAATTGTGACCCCTAAATTGCTGTAACACGACCTACCAACCACAGACATCCACAACAAAAACTACCACAAAAACAATTATTGACAGACTTCCGCCCCTTCTGCCATAAACAGCACCCTACCAAAGTAACACCATCAAGTGATA